CCGTGCGGAGGGGTTTTACTCTTTTTGGATCACAGTGCACCTTTCTAGTGAAGCAGAGTTGGGTCAAAGGGTCGTGCTCTTTTTGCCAAAGATGCCTTACTGCCTCTTTCTGTTTCATACTTCGTAAACAATCCTTATAAAACAAAATATAGATGCAATCTAAAGATATATTAAAGTAAAACTAAAAAAACCTCTTTTATGTTTAGGTTACGTCTTCGTAACTATTCACATTAATATACTATATATCTTTGTTCTCTAAAACCCTAACCCCATTGGAACTAGATCGGAACTCATTCGAAGAACCCTTTTCACACTATTTTTTTTGCATTATTATTATTAGGTTAAATCCCTTTTTTATTCCCTCAACTATTGTACAGACCCTCGATTTAATCCTTGAATTGAAAAAATCCTTGACTTGATTTTTACTGTTCACCAATTTTACCCCAACTTGGCTTTTCCATTAAAAATCATGTGAGGTGTCATGTTAATTGTCATAACTCAAAATTTAGTGGAATTTTATTTTATTTTTTTATTTTATTTTTATTTCACCAATTTTACCCCAACTTGGTTTTTCCATTAAAAATCATGTGAGGTGTCATGTTAATTATTATAACTCAAAATTTAGTAGAATTTTATTATTATTTTTATTTTAATTAATATGTTTTGTCTTTGATTTCCTTGTTAGGTTCATGAGCAAAAAGAGGGGGATTTTTGCGAAGAAAATTGAAAAAGGGAGATGAAAGAAATTAAGACAAGGGACTCAATTGAAGAAATCAAAAGTTGAAGGGGTGAAGTTCATCAAAACAAATTTACAAGTCCAGCCCAAAACCCATCAAACCAAAATCAAAACCCAAACTCAAACCCAATTAGCCAAAAAGCCAAAAAAACCCAAAATCCATAAATACCAAAACCAAAACCCACAATTACCCAAACCCAAAAAACCCATAACATAACCCATTTAGCCCAAACCCAAAAACCTAAACTTCAAACTCAAAACCCTAACCCCAATTAAAGAAAGAGGGAGAGCTTTCTCTTGCTCTGCGCCCTTTTTTTTGGCCCCCGCGGCCGACCATGCCTAGACCCCTTGCTCTACGCCCCCTGCCTGCCTGCACCGCCCTACTCTCCAAGCCTTGCGCCCACGCCCTTGCACCCGCCTGAGCCCGCCAGCCATCACCAGCCTTGCTCTCTGCGCCCAAATCACCTACATGCCTAAGCCCACTTCCAGTAATCATACCTCTCCTGCTTGCTGCACCGAGCTTACCCGCTTTACCCCCTGCGCGCCTGCACCTTCCTCTACCCGAGCCCAGATCTGCACTCATCACCTCACCTCCCCCCCGAACCAATCGCCAATCGATCCTGCACTCATTACCCCGCCTGTACCTCAATCGCGCAACCCCTCTGCACCCCTGCTTGCTGTCCTGCGCCTCTGCCTCCTACACGCTATAGCCATACAGGAAAAAACAACAATACCAGATGAAATTGGCATCATTGGTGATTGACAGAGCCAGGCCTTTTTTTTTTCATTTTTATTTTTATTTTATCAGTTGGGTGTATATATAGAGTAAAAGGCAGAGGTCTGAGGGGGGATTTTCTGGTTGATTTTTGGGTTCTTTTTTTGGGACCTGAAAGGGGTTCTCTTGGTTTTGAGTGTGGTATTAAGGACGGCCTAAAAGAGTATTTTTTTGTTGAAAGAAGATTGGTGTCTTGAGAAAGGAGATTTACGGGCTGCAAGAGGTATAGCTCTGAATAGAGGATTTTTGTTGGGAAAATGGTGAAGGAGTTGGTGGAAGCTTGATCCCGTGGGTGGGATCCCTTCCATCAGATCCAGATCCATTTTTCTTTCAAAATTCACCATGTTTGTTTTCCTGTGGGTGTTCATTTTTTTATCTGATGATAAGATTGAATGTGTTTTCTTGAAAAAAGAATGAAAAGCCAAAAGAAACTGTCCAGTTCGTCTTTATTTGATGAATGTATTTTTATTTTATTTTTCTGTTGGTTGTTTTTTCTTTGGGATTAGATGTATAGTCATGTTTAATCAAATCAGTCCATGGGTCCCAACCTTTTTCAAATCAGTCCTTCATGTTTTGAGTTTAATCAAATCAGTCTTTAAGGTTCCAAATTTAATCAAATTAGTCCCTGTAATGCTTATTTGTGCTTATGATGCACACATCTTTGATTTTGTTTATTTTAGTCCGAAATTTAAAAAATGTTTCAATTTGGTTTATTTTTTTAAAAAATAAAAACAGAAAAATTTTTTTTAGGACTTAAACATAGATAATGAATAAGTTGAATCAAAACCTCACAGTTAAAGTATGCAACTGTGTTTAAGTGGAGGATTGTGAGGTGTGCGTATGCTCTTTCTCACTCCTAACCAAACCCCCGATTCCCGATCTCTGCGCAGACCCGTTTTAGGTGACTTGTTCCACCTTATAATTTGGACAAGTGTCGACTCTCTTTTCTTATATATTTTACACTTAATTTTTCATCATTTTTGAAATCTTAAGTGGTTGTCAACAGTACCACATCAATGAATAAGCAAGATTACAATATACTCCATTTAACTAATTTGGTTCCAATTCCAAAATCAAGTTCCTAACCAAAGAAACAACTTCCTTCTACACTTCCTGGTCACTTTTACCCATTGAAACCTCTATTAATATATTTATATATATTCCTATGCATAATCATACTAAAAACTTGCCTAAAATAACACCAAAAGACCCTACATATGGTGGGTTTACCAGGTAGACTTGCTGGACAAAACAAGTAGAAAAATGTGAGAAACCAAGCTCAAAACTGCCCTAAACAGCAACACAAAAGTTGGGTAGTAAGGTGGGGGTTGCTGCTATTTAAAATAGTTTTAAGATGTATAGAAAAAGCCCTGAACAACAAGGATTTTCTAGGCAAAAACAACAAGGATTTGTGGGTACAAAAAACAAGGATTTCTGGGTAAAAACAACGAGGATTTCTAGGCAAAACAACAGTAAAACAGAGTAGAATAAAAGCCAAAACTTGGTAGAAATGGATAGCATTCAAGCAAAAATGTAGCAGCAAAAAGGTAGCTAAAACAACAGCTAAAAATCAAGTAAAACCATGATGCAATATGGCAGTAGGTACTGTGGAAATAAAGCAAAAAATAGAGCAAATTTTTGAGTACTTTTGAGAGTAGTTTTGGTAAAATTCTAAACTGGAAGTTCCAACAGAATTTGCACATAGAAATTGACCAATCTGGGTTGAATGGTTAATAGATAAATTGTAACCTTATGTCTTAGTGTTCTATAGGATCAAGAATCACCTTAATCCGACATTTACAAAAAAAGTCATGGTCAAAATACTAACATAAGGTTGGACTGCTAGTTTCGTCTGTCTGCGAGAATTGAACTTGCATTAGAGTGGTCACCTTGAAAATAGCTTAACTAGATTAAACATTCAACAGAAAAGTGTAGGGGTATCTCTTAACTTTCCATAGAATCAAGAATGGTCCTAATCCGATAGCTATAGAAAGAGTTATGGGCAAAATACTACTGCAAGGTCATGTTGTTAGAATTTCCAACAAACAAAAGAATTAGATTCTGGTGGTGATAGATTATGGGCAAAATCAAAGGGGGAACTATAGAAAAATCTTAAAATTGAAAACCATAAATGATTAGAATTAACCCAACTCCAAACAAAGATGAAAAGATGAGCATGTGGCTGATTTCTTACCGAAAAGTGCATGTGGCTGATTTCTTACCGGAAAGTGCTGGAAAGTGGCTGCCTCCCCTTACACTGCACAAGAACAAAACATGGACCAGAAAATTGCGAAAGTAGCAGTAAGATCTAGGTTTTGATAATCATTTTGAGAACCATAAGCTCATCAATCTCTAATCAGACTTGAGAGGAAAAAGAGGAACTAAATCTCACCTAATTTTTGGTGAGAAAGAGTTGGGCACAGGCTAGGTCTTGTAAGAAATTTTCTGGTGATGGGGCTGGGGGAAACACACAAAAATGAGCAAAGAGAAAAAGGAAAATTAGCGTTAACCCTTTTTATAAACAGATTTTTCTTTTAACCCCTTTTAGGTTTGTAAATTTTTGTTATTAAGCTCAACAATAATAATTTCTACCATATAAGTCTCTAACTTAAATTTTAAAATTTCAAAAAATTTTGGGATATTACAGGATGAATCAAATCTGTCTTCTTCCCATGAACTAACTTTCAATGTTCAGAAGACTAGTAAAAAACCACTAAGCCTTTTAGCTATCCTAATTGACTTGTACTCACTAAGGAAATGGATTTCTTTCTTTCCTTTTTTTTTTTTTTTCTCTTCCTTTTTTAAAAATCCTTTTTAGTAAGTTGATGATCAAACTTAAGAGTGGTTGGATTCTCTAATAAGGACTTTTATTGGATTTTAATGTGGTTTTGGATTAGGTTATTAGAAAGAAAGGATATGAAGGTTCAAAATCCCCTTTTGGAGGTAATTTTCCCCTCACAATCATTCTTTGCTTCCTAGGTTCTTGATGTAGGTGAATTTGCAAGAAAATCATCTTAGCTTTTATAATATGGACGATTGCCTTTTCTTTGGGCTCAAATGGGTGACAAAGGACAATGTAAAGTATTCAAGCTAAACACATGTGGCCTTTCATCATTGAATTCATTAAGCTCTTGAATTTGATCATGGTTTGCTATCTCTAGCATAATGATTGATATTACTTTCGTGTCTAATGCTTCAAAACCCTCAAAGAGGACTTTTTCTTTGGATTGTAATGGGGTTTAGTTAAGGTTCTATGAAAAGAATGGGAATTTAAGGCTCACAATTTCCAAATGTGCCCTACCAGTAACATATCTTAGTTAGGGGTTTTCATTTCAAACTTTTTTCCATGTAGCTTTTGCATTATCATTTCCTATTTTTGACTCTTCTTTTTTCTATCATTTTCTTCTTCTCTTTTTTTCTTTCAATTTTCTTTTGAGCTGTTGCTTTCCCTCGAACTTTACTCTTCTTTTAAATCCTTTCTTCATGGCCTTTACGAATATGAACTTACCCCCAGTTAGGCCTACAACTATATTCCTTGGTTTTGGAATGGGTATGAAAGAAAAGCTCATTATTTTTTTAGGCTCAACTTGGTTTATTAAGGGATAACTCTACTTGGTTAAGTGTTTGGGAATTGGGCTCATGAAAGATAGCATTCGATCCTTGAGTTTTTTCACTTTAGGCCTCTAAATGATGACAATCATTTGACCTAAGCTAGCAAGGCTTCCTTTTCTTCTCTCTCTCTCTCTCTCTCTCTCTCTCTCTCTCTCTCTCTCTCTCTTTTGCATCTTTGCTCACCATTTTCTTTGAGGGTAAGCATATCACATTTGACTGCAACTTTGGCCTCTTATTTTGCAAAATATCAATTAGTTCATAGAAAAAATCATGATCATCATCATCTTCCTTGACATGGATTTGATCAGAAAGCTTGGAATGACATCATTGTATTTAGATTTATCATTAGCAAAGCTTGAAGGTAGAGACAACAATGGATAAGTAAAAGCATGCGAGGAAAGCATATATATGCAAGCAAGATTTTGAAGAATATGGATGGAATCAAATGATGTTTTATTGATGAAGGATGGTTTAGACAATGATTAACAAGAAAAGTTGCACCAAGTTCAATGAATCTCCTCCATTGTTCCTTTAGATCCCATTATGCCTTCACCAATGACCAATTTAGGCTTCCATGTACAATTTTTGTGGGATAACAAGAGTTGATCCATAGCTTGAAATACTTTATGGAAAAAGTTTGAAAGATTAGCCAATTTTCACAAATTTTCTTCTTTTTGAAAACCATGCAAAAATCATGTGAAGTTCAAATTTGTTTTGATGTTTCATGCGAAGATATGAGCTTTACTTCCATGAATTGACACTATCATTTGTATTGAAATGCAAGTAAGATGGCCCCAATCTACCTACAATTCTAACTTCTTTTATTTTCTCTCAAAGATGATTTTACCTCCTTTTTTTTATAATGATTTTCTCACTCTTTCGTTTTTAAAGTCTTTCCCACTATTGTCTTCATCAAATAACAATTAATCTCATATTCATACACAAACAAATTTCTTAAGAATGACTCACTTAAGGCTCAAACTCAAAAATTGATAAGGATAGGCTTGTAGAAATTTTAATGCTCAATTTTTCCTAGACCTTCGACCTCAACAACATGAGGAAATAAATATGGTTCTCAAAACAAAGTAAGCCTTCCATCATAGATATTGTCTTATTTTTGAACAATCAGATCAATATGCCTTTAAGTGCAACTCTTGACAGTTCTTATTGGAATATCTTACTCTTTTAGTAATTCTACCACTGGGATCATCAAAATTGGCTTTCAACTTAAAAGATAATGTCATCCATGATAGCATAGACACAATGAAAAGTTTTATCAAACATCACAATTGATCATAAAGAAACAATTGTATGCAAGTTTAACACAATTATTCAATGATAGCATTTAGAAAAATGAAAACTTCAATCTTCACTCCTCCCTAGCTTTAACAAGAAGAAAATGGATTGGCACATTTAACTTCTATAAAGCTGACACCAAAGTTGAAGAAGTGGTTGAGGTAGCAAGTGAGGCATCTTTCATCTTGATGGTCAATCTGTGAATTAGCCTCATTTTTGCCTAGAAATGGCTCACATGCTTGGGTGAGAGAAGTGAGAGGCACAATGATGCCCAACATCAATCTTAGTGAGCTTATAAGAGCTTGTTAAGACTAAATTCTAGATAGAAGATGCATTGCTCCAAAGATAGAAAAATTGCCATGCTTGATTTGTTTATTTCTATTTTGGAGTAGTTTGCGTAGCCTACCTACAAACAAAAAGTAAAAAAAAAAACCAAAAGAAAGTA